TGGAACGCCATCCCAATTGAGATTCATCTGGAGCTGACGCTGATGACATTTTGGCGCCAGGTCAAAACCTTCCTGTTCCAGAAGGCTTCTAATTGAAATAATATCAACTCTGAGTCCTGATGGCAGAGTATATATTTTAATTGTATTTTAATTGTTTTATCTTTTTATTGTATTTTAATTGTTGTAAGTCACCCAGAGACCTTTGGGTAAAGTGGACAACATATCAGTTAAATAAATAAATAAAATAAGAACATCTTTCTTTGATGTCAGTTCTAGAAGGTGTTGTAAGTCTTCAAAGAATTGGGCAATTTCAGCCACTTCAGCATTGGTGGCTGGTGCATGACTGCGATGTTGAAGGGTCTGCCTTGGATTTGTATTGAAATAATTCTATCATTTTTGAGATTGTATCCCAATACAGTACAGCTTTTCCCACTCTTTTGTTGACTGTGAGGACAACTCCATTTCTTCTACGGGATTCTTGCCCACAATAGTAGATATGATAATAGTCTGAAATGAATTTGCCCATTCCCATCCATTTTAGTTCACTGACGCCCAGGATGTCAATGTTTATTCTTGCCATCTCCTGTTTGACCACATCCAGCTTCGAAGGTTCATAGATCTTACATTCCAGGTTCCTATGCAGCATTTTTCTCTGCAGCATCGGACTTTCCTTTCACTTCCAGGCATGTCCGCAGCTGAGCGTCCTTTCGGCTTTGGCCCAACCATTTCATTAGCACTGGAGCTACTTGTACTTGTCCTCTGCTCTTCCTCTGTAGCATGTTGGATGCCTTCCAACATGAGGGGCTAGTCTTCCAGCATCATATCTTTTAGCCTTTTGTTTCTGTTCATGACGTTTTCTTGACAAAGATACTGGAGTGGCCTGCCAGTTCCTGCTCCAGGTGGATTGCGTTTAGTCGGAACTCTCCATTATGTCCTGTCCATCTTGGGTGTCCCTGCACGGCATAGCCAATAGCTTCTCTGAATTACTCAAGCCCCTTCGCCATGACAAGGCAGCAATCCGTGAAGGAGGGCATTAACCTATAAAGCCCTAAATCTCCTGGGCCCAACTATCCCAGGGATAGCACCTCCCTTTAGTCTCACATGTGTTTGGTGGGAACACAGAAGGCCTTCTATGTTGCTGGGCCCAGGCTTTGGAACTCCCTTCTACTGGGCGCCTAGACCCCTCTTTTCTGACTTTCTGCAAGCAGGCAAGGACTTTTCTCTTCAAGTAAAGTTTCCCTCACTGGCTGCCTGAGTGGGGTTTTTAATGGGTTGTTGTGCCTTTGCTTTCAATATGTTCTTACTGTTGATTTTGTTTACTGTTGTAGTGTGGGATTTTTTTTGGTCTCTTTTTAAATATGTGTCTACTTACTGTTTTTAGCATTTTAATATTGTCTTTTACTGATGTAAGCCGCCATGGGTCTTTCCTAAAGAGAAAGATGGGATAAAAATATTTTAAATAAATAAATGGGTACGCCAGGAAGTAAGGGAGGCGTTCCTCTCCCGCCAGGGGCACCAGCTTGGCCGCAAGTCTTTCCGGCGGAATTCCCTAGAGGGACCTTCGCCCGAAGCAGATTCCCCGCGGCAGCATCGCGGGCAGTTTAATCGGCTCCACACAGGACAAAGTTTGCGCAACTGACCCTGAAAGTCTGAAGACTCGCCCCCGCCTGCCTGCCG